AAACATGATAGCTTTATAATGATACAGGTAAAAACGCAGTTTCATACCTTGACGTTACATTATTCTAAAACATCGATGTATTAGTTTTGAAAGTGCTTAGTAATAATGCTAACAAGTTTTATCTACAAGTTTTTCGACTTCGAGATAATTTTTTCTCTTAGAGTAAATTGGACTGGCCGTGGCGTCTGTTTGATAGATTGCGATTGCCGTAAAAACATGTTTAAGAAACCACATTGCACGAGCATGCAATATTACAGAGATTGACAAAGTAGGTCGCATAAGTAGAACATTTCTTGATCGTCATTCAGTATGGGTGTACATTAAGGTAATCGGAGATTCGTTTTAACCACCCACCAGGAGGGGTCTCCGTTTTTTTCTTTTTTTTTTTTTTGTTGCGCAAAGTGATCGACATGCTGACTCAGCGCTAATCCTCGCTTATGGCGATATTTCCTCGCCTATTACGCGATGGAAAGCTTTCGACACTCTTCTATTTATGTAAGACTATTTCGGAGACGGCTATTTACATTAATCCAATCATCGACTTCGTAATCGCTCGAACTAAATTATGCTAGATAGTATTTTATGCGGCACGTCTTTATGCGACTAGTCATTTAATAGATGTCCCTGAGAAGAGCAAATGTGTCGTGTTGTCATAGCGTTACAAATTAGAATTACACCGTTACGACACATGCGTAAATTTAACATCATGCGAAATTGCGTTACGTACGAGAAATACGAGAAGAAAACACATTCGCGATGCATATTTCGCACGTAGCGTGAGAGAAATTACAAAGAGGATAAATAAAGTAGAATCGTCAACGACTTACGATACACATCGAGGACGAGTAGCCTTATCGCCGGTGACACCATGTTCGTGTTGCTGGCCTGACAGATCAGCCTTGCCTCGAGGTGTTGTCGCCCAATTTTCGGATACGCCAAGTGGTTAACCGTTACCCCGCTCTGGGTATCGTAGTGATAGGACTCGTCTATCACGGTATTGTCGAGATACCACGTCAGCCTCGGGGGTGGCTTGCCACCGCGAACCTCGCAAATCAGGTTCACGTCGCTTCCCTCGTTGTACCGCTCCTTGTTGCTACACACGGTCCTCGTCGTCCCATCCAATATTATCGGCTTCGACGGAGGCACTGTGCGAACAGCATCGCGTCGTTAAAATCCGGGGGCTAATCGATCGCTCGTCAGGCGAATGACGACAATCGGCGCGAGAGATGCGTAATGCGCGATCGATGCGGTGGAATCCGGCGCAGAGAACTTTGGCGTTGTAGTAGAATTAACTGTTATAATGGCCGCAAAACAGGTCGTAGTTACGAAGTATATTACCGCGAGAGCTCCCCAGTTTGCGAGGCAAACCGCGGCTTACGGCCGAGATTAATTTATGCGCCGGAAAGTGCCGAGTTCGTGAGTCAACGCTCAGACGACGAGGGATGTATCGAGAGGGTTAAATGTATATATCTAAATCAATTGCGCGCGAACCTGTGACGTGTATGTCGCGCGACGAATCGAACGGTATTCAACGTTAAATATTACATGTCGTAAAAGCGATCTCGCGGGGGGGAGGGGGGAGGGAAGGGCCCGAGAGATCGAAGGCGCTTCTTTGCCCCGATACTTGACGCGACCTCCATTACCGCACCCTGATCAAAAGGACCGACTTTAATTGTTGCGTGATCACTGGTTGATTGAGTTTCCGGGATACAATGCGCTCACCTATAATGGTTAAGTTCATCCTTTGTTTCCGCGTCGGCGAGTTTCTGAAGTCCACCCGGCATCGGTAGATCCCCTCATCTGTGCCCTCCAGCCGTTCGATGTTGAGGTAAGCTGGATCCGCCGCCGTGACAAAAAAGGCTCTTGGTCCCAATGCCGTGGGCGACGACCAAAGACGGGCGTTGTTGTATTGTCGGCGGCCGCGGGCATCGTAGCTACAACAATCGATTGGCTCTTGCAGTAACTCAGCCGTAACAATCCCGTCGTTTTGCAATTATTATGAGATATAAACGCATTATGAGTGTATTATTGATATGCGCTATATCATTAATTATCGATACGGCTTGATATTATACAATATGGAATTTCAGCGTTTTTCGCTAATAGCCATAGAATACTAGAATGATTCCGGCGGAACATGCGGCCTGTAATAAGAGTCAGGAGTTTATAGCGGATAATTACCGTGCGCGTTTTGCTCGTTATTCATACACCAAAAACTGTACCAATTTAATTACATAATTTGCGATGTAATTGCAGCATATCAATCGAAACGGCATACTGGCGTCGTTATTGAAAGCTTGTCGCGATTGAATTAATTACAAGATAAATAATGAACATACGTTCCTGGATACTTATAATCGAATATACGTCTCTTCGAAATTTTTTATCGATTATAAAATTATAATATCTTTAATTATCTCCACTCTATTGAACATTGTTAATGCATAAAATTGTAATTAATACAATTATCGTAATTTTATAATACCTTATATTACATTAAACACTTGTGACAAATGAAACATAATAAAATTATTATTCCATTTTCTTACGTCATTATATAACAGAAGCTTTAATAACAGATATAAATTTAATGAAGCAGTACATATTATGAAAGTGTTTCGATATGGATTTCGATCAAAATTGCTTACATGAGTTATTTCTTACATTTCTATTGTCTTTCCTAGGACAAACGGAATAATTCTGATAGAATTCCATTTCGAATAATTCCACGACATGTATTCTGAATGATAGACCGAGGATTCATTTCAAATTTAATTATGATTATCCGGTAGAATTGCTTAAGGCAAACAATTTAATTAGTTTCTAAATTAACCTTTTCTCTCTGCGACATATAACAAAAAAATATTAACTATTAATTAAATTATTAATTTAATTATTAATTAAAAATCAATATTAAAAAATATTATTCTGTTTACGCTGGCAAGATAATACAGATATTACTTGAAATTAATCATTGAATAAGATAATCGAAGTTTCGGTCGAAGTCGTAAAATTAAATTGAGAACATTATGCTGGTCGTTCACGCGACCCTGATTGTGCCACCAGCTTCGTTGAAGAATCATTCACGGAATTTACGACCCCTCAAGACCAGTGGTTGGATAGACATGTATGTCTAATTCTGTGAATGATTCTTCAACGAATGTTAATATCTATGTATGAAATCGCATGGGAGCCGTTCCCAGTGCGTGATTGCATATTAAACATTCGCCGTGAGCAAGAACAGGAACAGAGGGAGACGGATTAGAGGGACGGTCGGGAGATATATAAGAGAGCCCGCGCGGGACAGAAAGAAGAGAGGTAACTCGGAGAGGGAGAGAGAAGAGGGGGGGGGGGAAGGGAAGGTGAGAGCACCAGGCATAGAGCCCTCCATGGCTCCTCGCGAGCGACTAAAAGTTAAATTGCGTTCCGCGACTGCACGAGAGTTCGGATTTTCGCTCGTGACTGAGTAGTCCCAAAGCTATCCCACCCTCACTCGCTTGCTTCCGCGGCATTGACGTTGAAATACGATTTAATTCTTCCACTTCGCACTTCCAACGGACGAGGAGAGCGCTTCCGTGACGCGCCACCGACGTTGCCCGTCCGCCTCGTCGTCGTAGATAGAGCAATAGGAGGAGGGCAGACCTCGAAGAGAGGTCGAGCACCACGTTCCACGAGCCGTCGCCCAGCACGAGAACGAGTCGCGGATATAACACGTTCGACCGACTTTTCTCGCGAGCCCTGAGATAACCCTGAAAAGCGATTTTCCCATATCGGTCTTCTGACTTCAACCCCGGCATTCATCGACGGCGAAACGACTCTCAAGATCGATCGGTCGCCTGCCTACTCACCCGACTCGTCGATCACGACCTGAGAGACTGATTCGTCGAGACTTTCCGGAAAGGCATCGCCTACAGTCGTTTCTTCGTTATCTCGGGAGATTGCAAAACGAATGAAGAACTTGTGTTGCTCTTTACAATTTGCAAAATCGATTTATGAATAAAGCAGCGCGTGTCATATTAAAATGCTGAAGTACAGCGGATGAATGTTGCTTCCGTTAAAGTTAATAAATAAGAAATGCTTGCAAATTTCGCGAAAAATTAATTTCGTATTTCCATTCTTGCATTTTATCGCAACTTTAGTAAAAATAATATAAACTTTCGACGGTTTATTATAGCGATGTCTTAAGCAATATTTGTGATTTCCGTAAGCAAATGCGTCTTTTATTGTCTTTTATTTAGCTATTACTCTCTCTACCATGGCGAGCACTCGTTAAAAAATCGATTACTTTAAAGTCTCACGCGAGGAAAAGAATTTACCAGGTTGCTTCGGTCTAAGTGTCTTGAAACTTTTCTACGAGAGAACGTAGAATGGAATTGAGTGGATTCGATTTTGCGAAGTGTTATCTATTAAGATAAAATGCGAAGACCGCCCGAGAGATTGTAAATATTACTAAGCGTTTTGTTCGATCAAGACACTGAGTGCTCAATATTACAGAGTAATATTGAAACTAAAAGATCGGGATCTACGATCGCGCGAACAAATATTCATATCATAAAGAATGCAGTCAATCGTCCGAGCCCCTTCTCTGCCCTTCCATTCTCTAAGTAAATGAAAAACTAGATAAATTTCGTACCACTATAGATAACCGAGGGAAAATTCAATCATCCTCGAGGATTGCGAAAGTCTTATTGAATTGATAAAATTAAGCAAACGGAAAGAAAAGAGTTCTTCGTTCTTCTTGAATAAGTCACAGCGCGAAACAATCCTGATGAGATGACATGCAAGTCACACATGAGTTACCCACGTATTTTCGCAGTTTCCTTTCCTTAACTGTCTGGCGTACGTACGATAAACGAGGCCACGATGTCACGCAATAAATATTACTGTGAGAGGTCCCGCGAAGAGAAAGGTCGACGGTTAGGATACTTCGGCGGCAAGGGGACCCGAGAAGGAGACGCTTTAGTGCGACGGCCGCCTTTAAATTTAAAGTTCCTCGTCGTGGCGGGGATTAAACTGACTTTACAACAAGCGACAATCCTCTTCCTCCTCAGCAACGAGTGCCAGCTCGGCACCCCGAGCATCGCTTCGCATACCGCCGCCCTTTTACCCCGAGACGATGCATCGCCATCTCCCTCGCACATATCTTACACCTTATTACATTTCTTAAATATGACCCACTGGATACTAAGGTCTACACCCCCTCCGACCGCGGCACTTCCATCCTATACCACGACTCGGCGATGCGTCGGCCGCCATTCTATATGCAAAATTTCACGGGCCGCGGAAGCGAAACGGCGACCGGAGTACCGAATGAACTTCATCGTGGAAAATAACGCGAGGAATTTTCAGACCTGAGTACTCGGACTCATTTCTTTTTGATTTTCCCGAGAAGGTACATTTTACAGACGATAGATGACTCCTATTCGAGAAGTTTTTCATAGTGCACTTCCTTCCGGTACATCGAGGCCTTATAGCGAGGAAAAACATCTTTTAGTAAATAAAAAATATCTTCTTCGGAATTTACGAGAAGATGTGAGAATTCAAGAGCTTTAAAATTTTGAAGCAATTTCAGTGATTTTTAGTTTACGGATAGCCAAAGTCTTGTACCTGTAAATCGGTTCGCCTCTGCCTTCCTTGTACCAAAGCACCATGCTGACGTCGTCGTTAATGTCGGAACGAATGTCACAAGGGAGATGCACTTTGTCTCCCACTACACCCTTGGCGAAAGTAATTGGTACTGCAACAAAAAACAGATTAACTTAAGTAAATGTGTATGTACATAAATAATTTATTTTTTTTTAGATTACAGTTTTTATTTAAATACTTCGTTGTATCCTAAGTTGATCAGTGCCAATTATCATCATAAATTAAATATTAAAATTAAACCCACACAATTCACTCAAAAGTTAGATTTAATATATCGACAGGAATGTCATAAATCCGAAGGATCTGGCACTTTTTTTCTCAGACAGAGAAGACAGAGAATAACGAGTTTAATCCGTAAGAATGGGAATCAAGGGACGTCAATTATAATCAATCGTTAAATTTTCAACAAGACATATAACATGAAATATTGCTACGGTAAAATGGTAAAACGTTGATATAAATGCAATTTTCATAGACAAGAAAAGATTAAGTCTGATATATAAGCGTTTAATGATGACACGATGATTTAGTGATACATGCTGACGGTTAAAGGCGAGCTCATATCCAAGCTTAAGTCTTGTCATTCTTGTCCATGATGAAGTAGACATTGGTTAACGGTGATTTAATGCGGTTTTGTTCGCTCGATTAAGTGTAGATGGAGATATCGCGTTTTTAATGAGCCTGTCTTCCCTCTCCTCCCTCCCACTCCTCTCTCTTTCTTTCTGACATTGACGCTGAAGTTATCTTTCTGCAATGGCGCGTTCCCCAAAGTCTCATCGGATTTTTCGATCGCTTCCTGAGAAGAGGCATCGTGCCTCAGGAGCGATCGCTCCCAAGGATCCCATCGATCACCATGCTAGTATTTCGTTGCACGACGTCCGATCGCAACAGAGTCGGCCAATCTCAAAGTCTACGGGTTTCCCGGACTATAAAGCGCCGACACTTTTCCGAAGAACAAGGAAAGGGGACGGGAATGGCCGAGAAAACGGATCGCCGGTCCGACATGTTCAAAGATACGTGCGCGCACGCGCGTGCGCGCGCAGACAGTCAATGTCTTCACGGCAAAATCCATGAAGATATTGCGTGAACGTGTGAAGTGTTTGCCGAAGGACCCAAAGCAGAGGCACTGAACGCTCTGAATCTGAAATTAGAATGCCAGCCAACTTTCGAGGCGATGGTGGGTCGATATGAGAAACGCGATAAGCAAACGTACGCTGAGCGCAGTCGCCCTTCTGCTTTGCATTTTCAGTTCTCTTGATTCTTGGTAGTAGTCATAAAGTATTTATACAAAAAAATAACAGTCTTTAATTCATTATTAACATATTGTTATATTAGTATATATTATACTATATATTATAATACATTGATATGTTATTAATTTTGTTAAGTATCTTCCTCTTCTTTTAATTATTCCTATCCTTCCCCTAATTTTCATTTCTTTTATATTTTAGCATTGTAAAAAAAATGCATATACTAATTTAAATTGTCGATCTGTCTATTTGCACCGGGATTCGATGCGCTTTACATACGACTGAACACTTATGTATTTAACAAAGCAACATTAAAAAACTATAATTTATAAATAGTATGCGAGTTTCGCGCACAATCAAGATGTCTTCCCGTTAGGGGAAAACGATTGTAAAGGATCGTAAAGCGGCCACATTCTTCCGATCTCATTTAATTCCGAGACAAGTTTCGAAGCGGTTTGGAAGGAAACTCCGTGGGAGCTCCGCGCAAACTTGCGGAACGTCCACGGCGGGCGTGACAAGCGTCGCGCGCGAAACAATTTCATTTATCACAAGAAAAATAACGGTTTAACTCCACGAGTGGGCGTATCATACATTTTCCGCGAGTTCGAAAGGGGAACGGGAACGGAAGGGTGAACGAGGCAGTGGAAAATGGAAGACACCGGGGGCGGATCGTTTCTTCTTCCTCATTGTCGTCGCAGCCGGCAATGAGGACGACACGAACGCAAGTGTATTAGCGTGGATGACATTTCCGACGCTAAGTCATCACAGTCCCGCTGGTACAATTTATTGTGCTCTCTGCTAGCACTTAGAGAAAATATAGTCCGAGTCCGGCGACGATATTGTCAGTATACGTCGATGCGGGCCGGAACGCCCCGACGGGACGGGACAAAACATGCGGTTCCAAATAACTCGCGTGTGCACGCGTTGTTGACGCTAAAAATTTGCATCGCGGATGAAACTACCGATACGGCGATACACGAGAACCACGGGCGGGAAAATTATTACCGGACTAATTGGTAGACCCGCGGCGGAAATTACTCGTAGTGCGGATAGCCAGCCGGTGGTGCTGGCCGCATTAAAGTTCGCAACGCCGCCGTCACTCGCTGGAATACACGATTGCCTCGTAAAGATAATTCCGAATGTTTTCCCGGCCGGTCGATCGATGAGCCGCGCGCTTGTTGAATGTCTAGTTTCCGCGGAAAATGTGAACGCACACTGTCGACGCGCACGATCTCGCGTCGCTGTCGCTGCACGCGTCATTATTATGAGTAACGTGCATCCCTCTCATTTTTCGACGCATACTTAATGACAGTTCCGCCGTGACGCACGCCGCCTGCGGCGTTTCTCGCTCCGTCTTGCTTACGAAACGGATACTCGAGTCATGACATGTATTCACGATCGTGATGAATCCTAAACGCCCACGTCGTTCTCGGTAGAGATCATTACTGGGAGTCGTGGGGTTAATAAATAATCCTATGTGGAAAACGAATCCATCAACGGTTACTCTCGTTAACTAGACGATTCGAGGCAACATCAAACGTACACGAGCACACACGCCGGGTCTAGTCTTCCTTTACCGAATGGGAGAACCATAAATAAGTAATCTTCTCGTTTCCACGAATGCGCGGGAGGGCCCTGAATCTCGAAGATGATCGCCTTGGGTGAACGCACGCAGGATGCCACGTTTATTTTCCTTTTTATTGACGACGTAAATTTAACGGATTTTATTTTTTTTCTTCTTCTCTGATCTCTTCCTTTCCTTCACTGCGGTTACACTCGCCATGAAATGAAATGAAATAGAGCAGTTATTTCAACGGCGAAGCGTACGCACGATATTTTTTTCTTAACTAATAGCCGTCAATACGTTTACATCAAACGATGAGAGATTCTGAAAAACTAAATATTCAAACACATAATATACTACTATAAATGCAAAAAATAGCCGAGGTAAATTGCAGTAAATATAATATTGATATGATTTACGCGTACAGCAATGCATGTAACAATATACATTTTATTTAATGACGCTTTATGAATTCAAAATAAAATCTAAATGTTAATGTTTAACTCATTTTTCACAAAAAGGCATGTTAAATCGCACTCGAACATATCAAAGTTGATTGTTATCCTTTTATTCCTTTTAGTCGATTCTTTTGCTGCGTTTACTTCGTGAACAGCTGTCATTGCAGAAATCACGTACTTTGACAATTTCTATATCTATCAAGCATAATTATCATTACAGATAAGAAGATTATAAGTTATGTGAAAATATTTTACTTCGTATTTTCTCTAAAACTTTTTATAATTAAATATTGAAGATGATTTTGTAATTTTCTTCATATCATAGAGCTGTCATATCTACAGCTGTTCATAATGTAAAACATGCATGTACAGCTGCGACATGAATTGATAGAACTGATTTGAGGGAGAATTGTATATTTAATTGAAAAATTCACAGTGCAAAGAAAAAAAATAGCATGTATGCAGCGCACACCTGTAACATATAGTTATTAATAAAAATCGTTGACTTCTCTATGTATTCATGTGATATGAAAAATTGTGAAATTTAAAAACACTTCCTTTATCTTCGGTCGAATAAACTTACGACAATACCACCAAATAATGAATTCATTCGAAATTTAAAACGTTTAATCAAATCAGCAAATCAGATGTGAATTGTTTCTTATGTCTTTTTATGCTCAGTACTAAGATGATAAAGCGAATATTATCATAACTGTTCGTTTTAAAATTACAGCTCTACACGATTATAGCAGAAATTAGAATGACGCCCGAGACAACTTTTTCAAACAAGACAATCTTTCAAACGACTTAACGATTAATTTAACATTAATCGCATATTACGTGAACGCTGCTCATTGATATAATGGATGAACGGTAATGCTCTGACCTACTAATTTCATAAGCGAGATTTGAAGAAGGTAATACGTATGAGACGTCAAGGTAGAAAGATTTGTAAAATAGTAAAACAGTTTTTTGTCTGTATTCTCAAGGCGTGCGCAAGGCATGGCCGAATAACTTAATGGAAGCGTACAAATTTGATTATACATGTTCATGTTTTTAATAATAATAAGTCTTATACATGGAGATATTCGGAGCTGAATTGATATAAATGGTGACGAAACAAACTTTCGGTCGGCATACGTGGAACTTCGTGCCACACGCGTAGAAAATACATTTAAGACGTTCGATGAAGCGTGGATGCTGGAATCATTTGTCATATTCGTAACTAGCATGTAGATAGCCGCTCCAATTTACGTCAAGACGTGATCGGTCATATATCTACAATGACGAGGGTACTTCGGTAGCACTTAATTATCTCCTCGATAATATAATCACGGACAACATGCAGAACATCCCACTAGATTCGTTTCAAATAAATCTCTTGCTAGATTATTACGAAGAAAATATGACGAAAAACATGACGAAATTCTACAATTTTTTTCAATAATAATTTTTTCAATAATAAAAGACCTGCCTAATCAATTCGGTGAAATGAAAGAAAAAACAAGAGTAATCGTTACTACGTCGCGACGAAGTAACGACAAAGTATTCGACGACGGAGTATAATTCATAATTTTATATAACCTCGCGCTGCAGGTAGATTGTGCGGGAAGCTTCGATTTTTAAAGTAGACCATCTACTCCGGTTGAAGACATGCAGCCGGTTACTCTGTGTACGAGTGGGAAACGCTATTCAAGCCAGCAGCGCGACGAGGTAAGAATCGATAAAGTCAGTCGCTTACCTAATAGACTTAGATAAATCATCATGTCCTCGAAAGATAATCAAAGACTATTCACCAGCGAAGTATGCAGGTCGGCGT